CCCTGCCCCCTAGCCACCGCCCATCGCCCACCGCCAAAAGGTCATGAAAGTGGATCCCGAGGAAGGCCGGGAAGCATGATCATGAAGCTGACTCCTCCTCCAGGTTTCGCTGCTACGCAGCAAACTTCACCTTAACGCCACTTGCTGCCCCACGGCAACGTGTGTACATCAACATCGAGCATGCGAGCAGTACTGGCAGGAGGCCACCCCAGTGCAGTGGCCTGACGTCCGCCCGTCGAACGCCTAGCACCTGAACCCACAGAGGATCCTCGTGCTTGCCATTCCAGCCTTTGGCTGTGCGCGCGGCCGAGGATACACCACCCCAAGCTTAGCTCCCCGAGGACCTCCATCACGACCCGATGTATGCCATCAACTCGCCATTCTGGGACACTTGGTTCCTCAACGAGCACGACGCGCGACGCCAGTCATACTTCACCTCTCGTGCGCGTGCTCCTACTCCCTTGCCACCCTCGCCACCAGCCGACGAGGCCTACAAGAAGGCCCTTGAAGACTCCAAGCTCGACAAGCTCACCAAAGGGAAGGGCATGGCAGAGCAACTAGTCGCATCGGCGAAGGCAATGTCGTCGTGCCCGAGCAGCAGCAGCAGCAGCAGCCCAAGGACCAGCGTGGGTAAGCGTCATTGGTAGGGCAATCATGGTCGTGGACGACTATAGTGCCCTGAATGCCAGAGTGGGTGTCGGGCCCGGACATGTGGGTGGGGGCGGACACGTGGTCACCGGAGCAGCGGCAGCATCCGAAGCAACATGAGGAGGGCCCGCTGCACAAGCGCACACGCTTGCGCCACAGGCGGCAGTAGTCCCGTGTCCTTTTCCATGGAATCATCCGGCCTTCATCCACCTCACCAACGAGGACGACGGCAGCAACGACGAACACAACTAGATCTAGGTTTTATTATCTTTTTTTAGTTTAACTAATGTAAGTCAGGACTTTTGATGGCAATGTGAAATATTTTTAAATTAAAAATATTGTGTGAAATTTGAAATGTGTGTGCTGTGTTGGACGCACCTACAAGTCAACCCAAACAGAGAAAAAACTAACATTTTTTGTGTCCATTTGGGTCGGTCCGTTGGAATTGCCATAATAATAAGGTTTAATTACGGGCATGAGTATCTTTTCCAGCTTCTACAGAGAAAAAATGTGTCTTCTATGATTCTGGAAGACAGAAATAAGAATGAATGTAAAATCATATTTTCTCTAGTAGGATTGAAATTTCTGTTTAAATGGGCCGTGAAAATACACAACATTTTTTTCCGAAATATTTCATTGGAATTTCCTATCAACATCACTCAACCGTGTCGAGCAAATAATGCTATATAAACTGCCATCATGTGATGTGATCAAACAACCAAGAAAATCCTTCCTTTTGTGAGAAACCTACTGTAGAAAAATATTTAAACGGCTTTGAATAACGTCAAACCCTTGTATAGTCGTTCTGGTCAGCAGTGTGGCAGCGTGCTGGTGTCACGGGGAAGCATCAAAGGACGAGTATATAGAAAACTAAAACAAAGCGACACTGGCAACATCAAAGTCAAGCAAAAAAAAATTGGCATGTGATCTTGCGGGTGCCACGGACCAAAGCACATCAGCAGTACGTCAGAATACGTTTGTGTGTGTGTTTGGAGGGTGCAACTTCCAAGACGAAGGGAAAGGAAAGGAGTTGATACAGGATCCGGACTCGTAAAGGCACGACAGGAAGACAGCTGCACTGCACTCAATTCTGACCTCGCCCCAGGACACACGCACAAACAAAGAGCTTGACCTACTCCACTC